TTTTGGTCTTTTTGAGACAGGGTCTCCCTGTAGCCCCAGCTGTCCTGGAACTCACTCTGTAGACCAGGCTGGCCTTGAACTCACAGAGATCCACCTGCCTCTGCCTCCCGAGTGCTGGGATTAAAGGTGTGCCACCACACCTGGCTAAATTTTTCATCTATTTTTATTTTATGAGTATGTTTCACCTGTGTCATGCAATGCCCTCAGAGGCCAGAAAAGGGCATTGGTTCCCCTGCAACTGGAGTTACAGACGGTTGTTAGCCGCTATGTGGGTGCTAGGAATCAAACCCAGATTCTCTACAAGAACAGCCTAACATCTCTCCAGCCCCTAAATCTATTTTAAATGGTTCTGAAAATTGGGGTAAAACTTGGGAAAACCAGGACTACAAGTCCCATCAGGCTCTAGTGCTTGTTTCTGAGCTCTAAGGAGAACTGGCTGTCCACTGCTTCAAGGAAAATGCTGTTTCCTATTTCCTTTCCAAGCACAGGCCCAAGCATCTGATACAGAACTATGACTCAGGGCTTGGGGCTCCAAGTACAGGCACCTAGGCTGTAGCATTGTGGGAAATGTAGTATTTAGCCCACTCTCCCACTCCCCTCTGTCACCTGAGCGTGCCCACCTGGTGGAGGTAGATAACCATTGAAGAGGACATTTCCACAGGAAGATCGATCCAACTCCTCCCGCAGCTGCAGGCGACGAACTGCAAGGGAAGGGCTCAAAGCCTGACCTTGGGGAATACTAAGGTTAATTCCTAGTGCGATCCCATCTTGTTTCTCCAAAGAACCACCACTCCCTTCCGAGCCAGGCCCAAACCCAAGGCTCTTAGCTCGAACCCAACCCTCTTTCTGGATAGGCCAAAGAAGTAGAAAACATTCAGAAGTATCAGAACACTGGTTTCCCATGCACTGGGGGTGCTGATTGTGGGGGGTTCCCTACTTACCCAGTGGAGTGAGCCCATAGAACTGGGCTTCGTGGAGGAGGCTGGAACCATGGATACCCCTGGGTAACAGAACAGACTAGGAGTCAAAATCTGGGATCTGGGGATGGGCAGAGAATTCTGTGGAAGAAGTTTCTGCAGAGAATGTTGACCGCTAGCTAGTTTTGACCGGATCAAGATTTTAGGGAGACTAGGTGCAGTGGTGCACATCTGCAATCCCAGCCTTCAGGAGTTAGAGGCAGGAGGATCACAGGGAGTTCCAGGCCTGGCCTCAGAGCAAGACCTTGTCTCAAAAACAAGCAAACAAACAAAAATAAATTTAAAATCTAAGGAACAGATGAGTGGTACAAATGTGTGGGTGTATTTGGAAGAAACATGCATAGCATGCTCAAAAATCTGAATTCTAATAGAACAGAACGTAAGTGGGCATTCTGAGAGGGACAAGAGACTTAGATGGTGGGAAACTCATTCCTTTATCAATACCAACCTGGGGTCTAACTCTTTGGTGCGCAGGAAGTTGAGGATGGGGGCAAAGACAGTGGGGTCCCTGTCGATGAAGATCTGCACAGGGAGGAAGCGGGGCGGGAAGGATGGATGGATAAAAGGCATGGGTGAGTGGGGGTGCCGTCCCTCCTCCTCCCTGAATGGGCCGCCCCATTTCAGGTCTTGCTCTAACTCACAGCTCCGGTCTCATCTTTCAGAGTCGAGATGCGTCCGCTCAGGAGACTACAAGAAAGAGAAACCGAGGAGTGGTTACGGGTCGAGTTGGGGAGGTAAGTGGTGGAAACAGGTCTCCCCACATCCTCTCCTTTCACCCCTCCTACCCTCGCCCCAAACTGGCTCCCTTCAGTCACCTGGAGAAGAAGGAGTCTGGGATCCAGGTGAGCGTCTGGCGAGAGGTACTGAATCTAGGAGGTGAAGGGAAAGGGAGGCAAGAGATGATGGGGAGGTGAGGACCACTGCCCTCTCCCACCGGATCCCGTGTTCTCGCCCCCCACCCCATCCCGGCGTTTCTTCCAGGCTCCAAGCCTCCAGCACCTGGCAGAGCAACCTTGAAGAACAGGGACCCCACACACACACACCAACCAGGAGAGGCATGTACCCCGCCCCAGTCCCAGAGGATGGGGCCTCAGGAATCTCCCACACTCACCTCTTGCCCCCCACATTCAGATGAATCACTTCCCCAGACGGCCCCCGACCCGGGACCCCCTCCGCTGCAGACGCTGCAGCAGCCATGGCCCCCGGGGCGAGCCGGCGGGCCTGTACCCACTTCCGGGTTTGCACAGATCCCGCCCCTACCACGTGCTCATTGGTCTAGAAGCTCCCAAAGCCTCCAGCGATTGGACAAAGCACTTGCTCGTCGCCAGTAAGTTCTCCGCCTCCTTAAAGCAGGGCGGCCTTTCCCAGCCTGGACCCGGCAGACCCCAGGGCTCCTTTGGGGGAAGTTTGACAAGTTCCCCATTCCTCTAGGATTCACGTTTTGTTTGTTTGTTTGTTTGTTTGTTTGTTTGTTTGTTTGTTTTGTTATTTTTTAGGGATGGCACAGGGGTGATTCGTTGAGGTGTACATGTACAGATCTTTAAGTCAGTGGACACCAATGGGTACCTCTAGATGGTCTCCCACAGCCGTCATCCCTACTCCAGCCCGCCCTCCAATCCGCTCGCAGTGATGCGCGAACAAACCAGCGTAGACCGTCAAAGCCAAAGGGTTTATTATAGGTACATACAGACATACAGTGTGCGCCTGCCACACCGCCCCAACCTCCGGCCCTGGGCTGCTCCAGGCCGCCGTGGGGGCTGCTTGTAACCCTGATTCCCCCTACTCCCCAGGGAGGTGCTCCAGCCAGAAGCATGCAGGGGGAGGGCTTCCCCACCCCGCTCCCCTCGGGAAGTGGCATTTACAGCTGGAGGGGGGAGGAGAGAGGAAGACAGTTTTGAACTTTGACGCCCCTCCTCCCATTAAAAGCCTTCGCGGATGCGGGGCGGGGGAAGGCGGGGAGGTCAACATTTTGCAAAAATAAACTAAGTCAGGAATTAATCGCATGGCTCTGAGAGGACGAAGTGCAGGGGCTAAGGGCCCCATCCCTCCCTCTTCCCAGACAGAACAAGGCAGCAATGGAAGTGAGGTAAAGGTAGGGGGGAGTGTGTCCCCGCCCCACCCCCTAGCACCCTGGATGGTCCAGGGGACCTCACCAGCGCCCCCATGCCCATCCTAAGGGTGGAGAGGAGGCCAAGAATTATCCCCGCCCCCCTCCCTTCGCTGCTTCACTTTCTAGTGGCAGGATTTGAGGATGGGGCAGGGGGCTTGGCTCAATTGGCTCCCTGCCCGCCCCCACCAAGCTCAGTTATTGCATAAAAATAATGGAGCCCCAGCACCTGGGGTGGGGTTGGCGAGCGGGAAGGGGCCGAGATATGGCTATAGGGGTAGCAATCCCCCACCACCGCTTCTTGGGGTGCAGGAGACGCCCCCTCCATTCCAGGGCCCATCGTGTGTACATCCGCAGTGTTGTTCCGGACCTTGCGGATGGATGAGAAGGTGTCTTTGTGCCCACAGTGAGGAGAGGAAGGGCAGGGAGATTTGTCAGATTCTTAAGTGGGGAAGGGGGCGGGGTACCTGGAATCACTTCCGGCGCCCGCTGGCCCTACGCTCCCCGCCCTCACGCTTGGGGTTGCCCTCATCTGTGGATGATGTGGTAGGTAGTGTCTGGCCCCAGCGGGCGATTTCAGCGTGTTCAGCCACTGAACTAGCCACAGCCTCCAGCCAGCCATTCATCTCCTCCTGGAGGAAGAAAGGAAACAGGACAGAGTGCATGTTTGGAAGAGAATCTCAGACCCACTGCCCTCCCTAACTTAAGCCTTCTGTTAGCTCAAGTGAGGATGAAATCCGTTTGTACAAGGCTCCTCTCTAAGCATTTTGTGGATTCATTCACTTAAATCTAACCAATAGGATTATCTATAACTCCCCCCACAGAGACAACCAAACCAAGGACAAGGGTTGAAGAGACACTTGTAGTGCCCTGACATATACTAGGTCCTGTGCTAATTGGGCTGCATGCACCAACTTATTTAACTCTTTAATTTTTTATTTATTATTTTTATTTTATATGTATGAGTGTTTGCCTGCATGTATTTGAGTGCACCCATGTCCTGCAATGCCACAGAGAGTGTTGGATTTCCCTGGAACTGGAGTTAAGGACGGTTCGTAGTCGCCATGTGGGTGCTGGGAATCAAACCCAGGTCCTCTGCAAGAGTAGTCAGTGCTCTTAACTGCTGAGCCATCTCTCCAGCCCCTTAACTCTTTATTTTTTATTTATTATTATTATTATTTTATGTAGCCCTGGCTGGCCTGGTCTGGCCTCAAACTCACAGAGATCCACTTGCTTCTGCCTCCCTAGTGCTAGAATTGAAGGGGTGAGCCACCACTTCATGCCAAATGTATTTAACTATTACAAAAGCCCCGTGATAAGAAACTATTTTGAGGCCGGCTCAGTGGGTAAAGGGACGGGGGCCTGATGACTTGAGTTCGATTCCCAAGACCCACATTTTGGAAGGTTGTCCTCTGATCTCCACACACATACTATGGCACATTAGTACCCACCCACATACGCATACACAAACACACATGCAATAAATTAATAAAATGTAATGAACCCAGAACTCCAGAACTTGGGAGGCAGAGGCAGGTGGATCTCTGTGAGTAGAGGCCAGCCTGGTCTACATAGAAAGTTCCAGGCTTAACTAGTTGAGGAACTCGCCACCAAGTCTGACCACCTGTGTTTGATACCTCAGTCTCACATGGTAGAAAAAGGCAACCAACTCCTACAACTTTTCCTCTGACGTCCATACATGCCCAGTGGCACGTGTGCCCCTACACATACACATACAAAATAAACAAATGTATGGGGCTGGAGAGATGGCTCAGCAGTTAAGAACACTTGCTGTTCTTGTAGAGGACCCAGGTTCAGTTCCCAGCACCCACGGGGCAGCTCACAACTCCAGTTCCCAGGGTTCTGATGTCCTCTTCTGTCTTCTGTGGTCACTGCACACACGTGGTACACTTACATACAATAAGTGAATATTCATACACATAAAATAAATAAATCCTTAATAAATAAATATAATGGGAAAAAAGTAAAAAAACAAAACTATTTTATCTCCACATCAGAGATAAGTGGAAGCAGGGGACCTCCCTGTAGCCCCAGCTGACCTAGAACTCTATATGTAGACCAGGCTGGTCTCACCTTGATCACCTGCCTCTGCCTTCAGAGTGCGGGATTAGAGCCATGTGTCACCAGGCCTGGCTAGAGTCACTCCTTTTTAATATTAATTTGCTCCTACCATCCTTCCAACCTCACCTGAGTGGGCCTAGCAGGAAGTTGGACTTGGCTATCAGGGCTTCCAGGCAGCCTGCCCTGGACCCCTTGGCATCACCTGTGGTTCAGGAAGCTCCTCCTGGCTCTCACTGCCCCTGGGCTTTCCTGTTACAGCTGATAGCTCTGGCCTGTGTGGCTCTCTTCTACAGCTCTATCACTTTGGTCCAGGGGCCTGCCAGCCAAGCTGTTATTTTGAGGTGAACACATGGGGTGAAAGGGTCAGAGCTTACCTCATCTTTAGCCTGGAGCAAGAACTCACTACCATCCTGGGTCCTGAAAGTGGAGACACAGGACTTCAGGGATCCTCAGGTGCCCAGCCACTCTCCCCATCACTCATTTTCTTTCAAGGGAACCAAAGTCTCACTGGGAAAATGAAGTTAGGCCTAGATCTCTCCCTCCTGCACCCTGGGGTACTCACTGGAGCTTGAAGACATGCTTCTTTTTCTTGTAGTCACTAGCCACCTCACTGGTGGCTTTGTGTAGGCTGAGCAGTGGCTCCCCACCATGCGTGCCCCCTGATGCTGGGCCTTTCGAGTCCTTGTAGAAGCCCAGCTCCCCTTTGCTGAGCACGCAGTACAGGCTCACCCATGACCTGGGATGATGAGATGGTGCTCAAGGCAGAGCTGCAGCAGCACCTATGTCATTACAGTCCTAGGCCTTCCTACCTCTGGGCCTTTGTCCTAGCTACTTAGGCTGCATACCTAAGTGCTCTTCCTTAGGGCAGAGAACAACTTGTAGGAATCAGTAGATAGGTGTCAGGGATCAAACTCAGGTCATCAAACTTGGATGCTAGTGCCTTACCCCAGAGCCATCTCCCAGTTCCTGGGAGGTGTGGCTAATGTTCCTATAATCAAGTCATTGCCCAGGCTCTGGCTACTTTGGGGCTTGCCTTTCCTTATCCCACAGAGCAAGATTTAAGCTATTGAGTTAGGAAGGGCTATAACTCAGAGGTGGACAGAGGGCTGGCTAGAACCCACTAGTGAGGATCTAGGGGCATGGCACAGCAGTAAAGCCCTTGCCAAGCATTCATAAGACACTGGGTTTGATGCCCAGTACTGCAAACATTTGAGCGGCCTCCCAAGCCTTTGCTCTAATCATTAGTTCTCATTCCCCCACCCTCACCAAGTTTGCTCAAGGAAGCTTTACTGCTCTACAGTTTAGAATGAGAATTTTGGATCTCTCCCTCCCATCAAAGCCCCAGTCTAGGAAGGAATCCATCCCCAGACAGGAAAATAATGTACACCAGGTGTCCCTGTTCCATTCCCACCTTGGTCTAGAAACAATCACCACCTCCAGTCCCCACCCACAAGGTCTGAGCCTGTCCTGTTCACTGCTTGTCTTGGGGCTAGACCTCACTCCACCCCTTAGCCAGTGCTACCCTTTTGGCTCCACCTGTCCTCAAATTTTGCATCTCTGTTGTACAAAAATGAATTAAGACAACCTGGAGCTACACTTAAAAAGCAAATAGTTAAACCAAGGGTTTGGGGAGAAGGCTTAGGGGTAAGGTACTAGTAGCCTAACTTGATGACCTGAGCTTGATCCCCAGCACCCGTCTAGTGGAAGGAGAGAACTGATTCCTACAAGTTTGTCCTCTGACCACCACACAAAGCTCCCCCCTAACACTAATAAATGCAACTTAAGAAATTAAGGTTAGTCCATTTGGAACACTCAGGAAAGCCCCGACCCTGCACTCAGTCCTGAGTCTGGGCTGTCACCTTTCATGGGTGGCCCAACCCACTCACTGATTGGCCCCACTCCAGGTGCCACTGGACTCCGTTAAAGCAGACTCCACCCCAGTTTGCTCCTTAGCAACACCTGCATAGAACACTAAGCTAGAGTTCCGATTTATTCACTTTCAGGACACTTTCTATCCTGCTCCCAGCTCAGCATCATCTACTCAGCTATTGGACCCACGAACCTTAGGCCACG